TGTACACTCCTGGGCTTGACAAGCAGCACAGGTTGCACTGGCTGGAAAGGAATGTTTTATTTTAAGTAAGAAGGCACACCCAGTTTCAACTCTGTGTCACCTTCAGACTGTGTGGCTCATCTTAAAAGTTCAAACCACTACTTCATATTTATGTTAATTTCAAATGCTTACTGCGATTACTCATTGTTTGGCAGTCATGATTTTTGTGTCCATCACAACTGGATTTCTGATACTAAAAATTACCACTGTCTTGAAGAAAGAACTTCCTGGCATCCAAATTAAATACAACTGCTTCTTTATTTGGGACCCGTACTTTTGACAGCTATCTTCCCTCTGTAGTAGGTAATTTCTCAAGGCCGAGAGCCTAAGCTTGGAAAACCACAAAGATACTGCCCATACCCCTTAGACTGGGGGATTTTCAGGCTCCTGCAGATGGGAGGTAAGCACTGGTGCCTTGTAGAGAGGCAAGATACTGTCCCTCCATAGTTAACCTGGAGTACCTGACTACAGGCTTGCCAAGCTACTCTTTCTTGCCCCCATGTAATCTGTAGAATAAAATGTCCCCAAAATCCCATGTGAGTCCTGAACAGTCACTCAGCTGGTTCCTGGCTCCACTTGAGCTCCTGCTGTTGAGGTGGCTGTGCCTGGTCTGACAGAGACAGCATCACACCGAGATCCCACAGGCATTCATAATACAATTGTTTGCCAAATAAGTCTGTGTGGGATAATGTTTATAAACTTAAAAATAAAACCCAGTGGGATAGCCTGCCACCTAAGCCGAGGCGTTAGTTCTAACAAGAGATGAGCAGCAATCCTGTGGAATCTGTCAGTGTGCCCCATTAATTAGTCAGAGCATTGGTATCAAACATGCAGGCCCTGCACAGGCCAGCTTTCATCAGGAGGTGTGTGTTTATTTGACTAATATCAATGTCTGTTTCTTTCAAGATGTTACCTGACTAAATACATAAATAACATATGGCAAGAATCTGTAACTCTTGTGCAGGTCTTGCCTGTGATAATACATTAAAAACATATCAGCTTCCTGATACTACAGTTCAACAATGCTATTCAACCAAGCAGGAAGAAATTAACTAACTAGCTAACCGAACTTTAGGTTTTAAAAAGCTTTTGTTGGTTCAGGAGCTAAGGATAATAATATTTAAGCACTTTAAACACTTCTTTATGAAGTGCAGCTGTACGTTGAGGGGGGGGGGGAAAGGCTCTGAAACTGGTAGCTGAGTTTACCATTTGAATTGTCTTCACAGCAAAGTTACTCAATTTCTCAATTTACTTGTGTGTGTGTGTGTCCCCAAATGCATGCAATGAATGCTTAAATCGTACTCCATTCTTGGCCATTTTTGCAACTTCCTTAGTAATAACCATTCTTTTGTTGCTATTTAATTAATAATTTTACTGATAGTATATAAGCCAGGGTAAAATCCATTCACTCTCCAAGTTGTCTTGGCTCAGCAAAGAAATAAAGGGCAGTTAAATGAAGCATCTGGCATCCTGTGACAAGAAATGAAGCAGTAGGTGTGGAAACCGCTGGGGAGTTTGGCTGCCAGATATTGTAACGAACCGAACATTAACATGCTTGGGATTGTCCAAATGTGACCCAAGTACAAATACTGTCTGGGAAAGGGATCTTCTACATCGAGGGAAACAAAAGTAAGCACTTTCTTGGACCTGTCTGGTAAATAACTCTTTAGTACACAGATTTTGTGCTTTACACAAGGGGGAATCTTCCTCAGATTGTTTATTTCCCATGTTCTTTTGCAGGTACTGGTTATTTTCACTGTCCTCTATGCAGACTTCTACCCATCAGTTTTCTGTCAGCCTGATTACAATAAAGAGTTTAAGCCTGCAAATGAACACAAACTAGCTGAGTGTCCCCATCCCCTGTGCAGGAGTTGTAAAAAGCAACATTTTCCACAAGGTAAAATATGAGTTCCTTATAGGGCTTGAGAAGTAAATGGGAGGTATATGCTTGCAGCAGGTGAGCCTGTCCTGAAAACAGACTCCTCTCTCCACAAGAAGCCTTTCATCAAGGCGACAGAAGTGCAGCACTTCCAGGCACACTGGAGGCCATACAGATACTTCAGTCTGTCAGTGCCTTGTCCTCTTAGGCCCTAGGGCTGTTTTTGCATTAAAGCTTCATACAGAGATTAGTGGCTGGTCCTAAAATGCAGGGAAACATCTCTGCCACTTTTTCTCTTTGCACAGAGTTTAAGATCATTGCAGTTTTGCACTCATCCTTCAATGGGAGCTTGTTTGATTTCTGGGCTGCAGCTTGATCAAAGGTCCACTGAAATAAACACACCACTTCTACTGAGCTTCATGGGCTTGGGAATCAGGCAGTTGCTCTTCCTGAAAAATTTCACAGAAGTAGAGCTGTAAAGCAGTATTTGAATGATGTCATGAAACTTTTTTGGCACACAGGAAGGGCAGGGAGTTCTGGAAAGAAGCTGCAGCTTTACAGAGAAAATAAAGTCAAGGGCAAGACAAGGATATGTTTAGGAAGGATTCTTGGTCTAAGTGGTTGAGAAAGAAGTTGGAAGAAAGCATCGCAGACCTGTACAAGTATATAGAGATGACAGGCCCAAGATGAGACTCAAGTGTTCAAACTAAATGCAAAAAGCAAGAGGAAATAATTGGCCAGGTTCAGATGAAAAATGGCGTGGATAGAATGGAAGGAGAGAAGACTGTGAATACCAGTAGTAGAGAAAGATTATACAACACAAAGTGAAGAAAAAGCAAAGTAGGAAAACCAGTGGCAGCCCAGAAGAAGCAGCAGGCTAAGAGCAGAAAGCAACTTGTGGGTAGAAGGCCATGTTGTACCTTTAAGTGTGCCTTGCTTATGTCTCTGTGTATAAATATGTGTAAAGGAGCATGAAGTATTTGGTAGTTAAAGGTCTACTTTTAATCTGAGATGAATGAATGAGTTTGCTACATGTACGTGTCCTTTCCAGTAAGAAGTTAATCTTCTACGTATTGTGCTTGCTGCCAGTGCTTTCTCAACGAAGAGAGTATATACTGCGCACCCAAGTTTGGGGCTTCTACCGTAATTGGTATTTCAATGCAGAAACATTTCTGCAATAAGAGTAGTTTAATGTGGCATGTTTTTTTCAAGTTATCTGGCAAACGGTGCTTCTGAAGATGTTTGCACAAGCTTCCTGTCATTTTACCTATTTATTACAAACTTTTCAAACTAGAGATTTAAAATTAACAACATTAGGCTGTGCTTTTTCAGTTGAACTAGTGTAATCTGGATTGAACAGCTCATTTCTCTATTGTCAAGTCGATTTGCTTTCACTTGCCAACCCATATAAGAACTGAACTTCAAACAGATGATTAGAACTTTATGTTCTATTAAAATTCTTGCTTTTGTTGTGCTGGTATGTCATTGCGTGACCACTCATAATTAGGGCTCGATGAGAGACTTTTAAATGCTGTCATATCAAAACCAATTTTTTCTCATCAAAACTAAGAGGGAGAGGTCCAAAATAGTGCATCATTTAGTGGCTGGAGTACTTGAAGGAAGACTTGTATTGGACAGATCTGAGCCTCATTTTTTGTGTAATGCACAGTCCAGTAGGACCCTGATAAGCTTTGTAATGATAGCCAGCAAGGCCACTCAGAAGGACATGCTTTATTTAAGGGTAAGCCTTAAAACAGAGTGGTCTTATTTGCTTCAGAATCAGTAGTTAAGGCTGCAGGGGTGTGCTGGTTGGCTATAAATGAGTATTGATATTAAAAGACATTTGATACTTTAAAAAAAGGGAGGGGCAGGGGCAAAGAATAAAAAAGTGGAAGCGAACTTCTAACCTGTTTAATAAAGGTGTTAAGATTGTGTTTCCTTAAAAAAAAAAAAAGACAAAAAACATGCAGTGCTATTAATCTGTAACAGTTTTAGCTTATCTGTGCTCATCAGAATGCAATGGCTCAGTCCTGCTCAAACACAGGTTGCAGTAGTTTGAGTCTGGTCCTTATGCAACGTATGCATGTACACAGGAGCATTCTTGTGAATTCTGGATTTCAAGGACTTAATTTGATGAATATCTGAAGGTACAATCATCATCTTACCCTGTCAAGCTCTATTATTCTATATCCCATCTTATCTTGCCCCATCTCATATTATTCCATTTCCCAACTTACTCAATACTGAGCTATCAATATAAAATCTTTGGCCAACGAGTAACAAGAAAAACTAATGGGCAGATAGATCATTACATCTGGCACTGTGAACATACACAGATGAAATAACTTCTAAAGCTTAGTCATATTTCACATTTTTGGTGCAGTATGCAAAGGTACTGTTGAGTTACGGCAGGGCAGACTTAAAGATCTGAGAGCATTTCCTGAGTGTGAAGAAGAGCTGTGCAGATAAGCAGTATTGTGCCAAAAATAAGTTTGAGATGTAAAGAGAGGAACCTAGCGAAGGAGGGGTAGGGATTGTACTGAAGGTCTGAGCACCAGAAGGAACAAGAGCAGAAATACTTAGAAACGTTCTTAAAACTGTGAGCAGTGGTACCATCAAAGCCTGGTTTTGATAGTGGTATTTCAAGGCTGCATATATCCTGGTACGGAACTCTGATATTTTGCACAGGTTATGCAGAAGCTTTGATAGGAGTTACTGCCTTGCCAGATACTGTTTTTATGAAACCTTTAGAAACTTAATAACACTGCCAAATTTGGTTGTAGTTGGAAAATAGCTGGAAAAGATTTTTAGGGGAGAACTGACTGGCTCGCACTTGTACATAAGCTTTAAATCAGGTATTTTCTGCTCGGATTTTGATGTGAAATACTTTGGTATGTCTCTTTTGCTTTTAATGACCAAGTTGGAGGAAAGAAACACTGTCAGTCATTCATCATTGTGGTCAATGTAGTTAATTTGTATTCATACAATTGAACCCAGGCCATTAAAGTTCATTCAAATTCAGTGTTATTCCCTTTTCAGTATCTTCTAACAGCAACAAAAAAACTTGTTTCCTTAATTCTAGGGATGTAATCCTCTTGCTGAGACTGGTCGAAGCAAACTGCAAAATCAAAGAGCTGTCCTGAACCAACAGATCTTAAAGGCAGTAAGAATGAGAGCTGGTGCTGAAAATCTTTTAAGGTATGTGTTACGACTTCCTAGCTCTCTTGGCTGAGCAACAAAATTTTTTATTTTTTAAATTTTTAAAAAGTCTCTTATCTGTTGCTTTTTCCCAGTTTGCCTAACTGCTCCCTTAACATGCTGCATAAATTACTGCTGGATGCTTTGTGAATCTCCCTGAAGTTGTTTTTGTTTTTTTTTTTTTTAATGCTGTAGCTCTGTAGAGTCATTATCCACTATAAAGTGCACTTTCAAAGTTGCTATGTTGTAGCAAATGAGTTGAATGTTAGACTATCTTATGTTGCTCTGTTTGATCAGCTTTATTGCTAGTGATAATGGTAAGTGAACCTTGCTGAATATTGTAATGAGTCCTTTTTACACCTTAAATCAAATAAAGGTATTGTCACTATGCTGTTGCTTTTTCCAAGATCCTTTAGATTTGTGCTCCACAGTGGAAAGGACCATCAGTTGCCTTATTTATTCCATGTAGCAGTGATATCGGAGTAGCAGGGTAGCACACATCTAATTTGAGCTGGGTTACAGTTGCCACCAAATTCTCCTACAATTTGAAGTAACTGGAAGAGACTTTGCCCTTCATCTGTTATAGTTTGTCCACCAAATTTTTTTTAAGACACAGTTTCTTATGTGGCTGTCCCCATAGGAATAGCCTTATGTTGACCCTGTCTTGAGGCTATTAACTGCTTGGCAAACAGTCCTGTAGCTTTTCAACAATCCATCCCTCTGTTACAGAGAAGAACTGGAAATTTCCCCAATACTCATCTGCAATAGTCTCCTATAGTGTCTGTTTCTCTGCAACTAGAGCAACAAGGGGTCTCCAAGAACAAAATTCTCGTCAATAGCTTCCCTTAGAGAAGTGAAAATGCTTGGATAAATTCACTTTTCTTAACCTTGCCATTAATTGATAGGTTGCCCTTTGCCTGTCACCTGCCTTTATCTCCACTTTTGGCAAGAGAGTTGCTAGGTCCAAAGCTTATGTAGTTTTAGCCTCTGTGACTGACTGTTTTTCTTTGTTTTCTGGTGACTGATTTAAGGAGTAAGACTTGGGGTCTTTTGCTACCTTTTGTATGCATAGCAAAATTCTTGTATCTGCTTTTGAAACTGAACGCTGTTCAGTCAGTAGATGTTTCTGCATGTCAACTTGGTAGTGTTTTGGAAAGGCTAAAGAGATGAGTAATATCTAATGTGAACACTGGTTACTCTAAGATTCAACCTAAAGATGTCCTAAAGTTCGGCTCCTGATACCAATATTAACTGCTGAAATACTGAAGCTGCTGTGACAAGAGTGGGAACTAAACCTGTTTGAAGAGTAGAGGATCAGACTTATTTCTAAGTTATTAAAAACCTAAAATGAATTTATACCTATTAGACTTTAAACTTGCTAGTTCTTTGAAGGAAGCAATTTTAAAAGTAACATGACCACTAGATAGGCCACATGACTAGAAAATTTACAGTCTTCTAAAGGAAAACATAAACAAACAGTCTTTATGCTTTCAGATTCTATTTGCATTTCTTCAAGTTCTAAAAGAAGCAAACCAATTGCTGTCCACGAGGAGCCTCCTGCAATAGGACTTGAGAAAAAACTGGAAATGCAGGTTTCTTTACCTTTGACTGAAAGTAAATGCTAGGCTTGAAACGAATGATCCATATAGTGCAAAGACTTTTGTTTTTAGAACTTCTGAAAGTCACTCTCTCTTTTTCATTTTCTTTTGTTCTGGAAGTTCTCAGTTAAAATTAAATTCAGAGTAGAGTTACGTGGATATCACATTCCTCCTGTTGCTGTCTTTTGCTGTTTGTCATTACAAAGTATGTCTACAATGCAAAAACATGAACAAGTAATCAAATTAACTCTAAATTGGCATGGACGTTGAGAGCAATATAGCCATATTAGAGAAGTTCACCTGGGTGGAATGTTAGGGTTTCTGAAAAAGATGTTAGACTCCCTCCTGTGGAGGACAGTAAGCTGGACCAAACATGGAGCCTTAATAACATCGTAATTAAATTGCTGCTACCATGAAAGCTCGCCCAGTTATCTGTATGGTGCCGCCTTTGTCAAGGAAGATTCACTCCACCCTATATTTGTGTCCAGTTTGGCTTATGCGGGCAGCAGATGTTAACATCGCTTAACTTCAGCGATCTCAGGTATTCAATGAAGTACAGTGTAGAAAATTCATAGATAATGCATATTTATAATATGAAGTACAAGCTTAGAATTTTAGCCTCGGAATAACTAGTTCTTCACCAAAGTGTTCCATAAAACTGGAGGATTGTTCCAAATGGAGCCTAGGTATATGACAGCATTGTTCATAAATACTTATGAAGGTCAATTTTATATTAAAATAAAGGTAAGCTGCAAACTTAAAATAAGTTTGTTATTGTCTAATGATTTGGACTCTCTAATATAGGGGTACAATCTCTTAAGCTTGGATATGGATCAAGGCCTTTTATCTTAAACTCATACCTGTGGTTATAGGTAACAGTTTAAGTCTCTTGAAAACAGTAATACTGTAGAGAGAATTGGATTAGAAATAGTGGTATAATATCCTCAAATACACCAATAAGAAATCGCACAGAAATGCTCTGGGGAGCTAAATACTAACATCCACTATGCTAGCAGCGCAAAATGTGTTGTCATGTAAATATATAAATGGCAAAGGAAACACGCAAACAAAAAAGATCTTATTTCACAGAATCGGTTTGGTTGGAAGAGGCCTCTGGGATCATCAAGTCCAACCTTTGCCCTAACAACGCCATGTCAACTAGACCGTGGCACTAAGTGCCATGTCCAGTTTTTTCTTGAACACCTCCAGGGATGGTGACTCCACCACCTCCCTGGGCAGCCCATTCCAATGCCTAATGACCCTTTCTGTGAAGAAATGCCTCCTCATTTCTAGCCTGAACTTCCTGTGGCACAGTTTCAGACTATGCCCTCTTGTCCTGTCATGAGTTGCCTGGGAGAAGAGGCCAGCCCCAACTTTACTACAACCTCCTTTCAGGTTGTTGTAAAGAGTGATCAGGTCTCCCCGCAGCCTCCTCTTCTCCAGGCTAAACAACCCCAGTTCCCTCAGCTGCCTCTCATATGACTTACCCTCTAGGCCCTTCATCAGCTTTGCTGCCCTTCTCTGGACTTGCTGCAGCACCTCCATGTCCTTGAAGTGCGGGGCCCAGAACTGGACACAGTACTCAAGGTGTGGCCACGCCAGTGCCAAGTACAGGGGGATGATCACTTCCCTAGTCCTGCATCCGACAAAATAAAATTATAGAGAAAATTGTATTGTATGAATAAGAAATATCTTCCTACCTGTATATTTGATTGTAAAAAATTCTGTAGCAAAAGTTTTACGGGCAGGTTGTTTTATTTTATTCTTAAGATCAGAAGTCTCTACAGATCATTATTCAATTTGTGAAGTGGAAAGTATTTTTTTAAAAAATATCTCCTGAATCCCCCCACCTCCAGCCTCATATCTTCTTCTAGGAAAAGGTCACATAATCTGAAAAGAGGATAGTGATTCTGTTTTAAGGTGCTTTAGTTTTGTTGATTAACGTATCTGAAAATAAGCCTGACCCTTAATCACATAAAAAAATATAGCACATAGCAAGCCTTCTGTGTGTCTGCATGGTTATCTGGAAACTATACCAGGCTCTATCTTGACAGAAAAACTGAATAAATTCTGAAGTGTGAGGTCTTGTATCATCTCTTAAGGAGATTTTAAAAAATCTTTAAAATGCCAAGAATGCTAGCAAGGGGGTCAACCAAGCTTATGTACGAAACCTTTTCCTCAGCAATAAAAGAATTATACGTCTCTTCCTTTCTGCAGAGCAACCACCAACAACAAAGTACGAGAGCAGGTACTACTGGAACTGAGTTTCGTAAACTCAGACCTGCAGATCTTAAAGGAGGAACTGGAAGGACTTAATATCTCAGTAGAAGTTTATCAAAATACAGAGTAAGTATAAAGCTAAGTTACTCAATTATTAACAGATCTTCTGTTTACCCTTGGAAAGAAAATTGTTCTAGGTGAATGTGAATGCTGGACAATAACTACGTGAAAGAATAGAGAGTTTGATAGGAAGAGAACATACTTGATGGTAGATTTGTTGACTAAGGGTTAGTCTGCATATTTGTCTTTCACTTGGGAAAGGTATGTACCACTAATCCTTAGATATGAGTTCCTTTGTGGAGGAGGGTATTGTGAGAATTGAAAGCTCTTGGGGCTGTATGGTGAGACACATGGCACCTAGCAGAATTTCCAGTACTAGAATGGCTAATTGGTTCAGTGCATTCTGGAGTGAGCAAACCTACTGATATAATATCTGTTCTCAAATGCAGTGCATATGACAGTCCTCTCTTTAGGTGGAGAATAGAAGTACAACACTGATTTGGAGTTCAAAGCAGACTTGGGGTAATCTTTAAGGTGTGCACTTCAGTGATAGAAATCCATAAATTATCTGGGTAAAACAGAGAAATTTTTAGTAGATGAAGTTGGAATTTTTCCAAGATATTTTTCCAACTTTAAAGAGCACGCTAAACTTCAAATTGCAATGGATTCCTCAAAGATAAAACTTGAAAGTTAAAGATTATTCATTGCCTGAATACTGCAATGATTTCTGTATCAGTTAGATGTCTTGTTTCTCCTAAAACTAAACGTTTACTATTTGATTAACATGAGCAGCTCAAGACAGAAATTGAAGCGCTTCATATGAGAGGAGTATAATTTTGGGTCCCTCTTAGCACTATTCTCCCAGGTGGACTACAAGTAATTCTTAGTGTAGAGGGACTAAGCTCATTTCCAGTGGGGTATCTTTCAACTGAATGCTGACCTGATGCAAAATATCCGTGTTTTGTTTTTCTCAAAAAGAAACTTGAGCTAAAGTTCCTGCTCTCCACCCCCATGGCAAACTGTGACAACTATTTGATGCGAAAATGTTTTTTTATTCAAGATTTTACCAGTCTTCAGAGATGCATGTGAGCATAGAGAGCAGTATGATAGTTATGGCTGTGGAAATGAAAGCAAGACGCCAGAAGTACTATTCCTTCTTGTAGCTAAAGAATATTTGGATTCTCAATGAAGGGTGAACAGTAGGTCAAGTCCCAAGGCAGGTAAAAGCCTTGCGGCTGGACAGTAGTATGCTTTTTATTCTGTCCTGATCCTACTTCCCCAATCTGTTTTGCATGGTGTTCTACCTTTCTGATGCTGTTCATTCTAAGCTCTAAATGCTTTTTATGTTCCATCAGCTAAAATAACTCACTCCCTCTGTAACTGCTGTCCAGCCTTTAATAGCAAATAGCTATTAATAGTTGCATATAGTTGTTACTATTGTGCATATAGACATCAACAAGTCACACCCACATTGCTGGGTTACACTGTATTGTGTTACACCAGGCTGAAGGGTTGGCCTTCCCATGACTTGCACGCATCTCAGCTGGATTGAGAAGCATGACGCTATTTCTACTCAGTTCTGGAAATCCAGGATCACCTCCCTAACTGTTCAATGTCCCTATGATGTTGACTCTGTGGGTGTGGCACCTTAGAAACTTAAAAAATAGAAATTCAGTTCCTTTGAATGACAAATGCTGGTGTCTACAGGGACTGTGGGTGGTACTAGAATTCATTAAACCAGTAAGTTAGGATTTCTTTTGCATGTGTCTCACTTCCTTTTGGGGAAAAAGTCTGGATATAATCTGTTGTAAAAGTATGGTTTCCTCTAAAAGCCTCACCAGAAATCAGATCATTTGCACTACCTGCAGTGGTGTTTTGGCTCTGTATCCTGGAAGTCCTTTTCAAGCTAGCAGAATCATTTTTGGATCATGCCAACTAGTTTAAGGACTCTTCTTCTACTGAGGAAGCTGCATTCCTACTCCCACCTTCCTGAGATGGAATTTTCACCAGTAAGAAAGTGATTTTGCTGGCTTTGCTGATAAAACAATAAATGAATCACACCTGTGGGATTTTGTAGTTGGTAATGGAACACTCTAAACCATGATTAGACAGTCAATTAGTTTTTTTCAGGAAAAACAGAAATAATTGATAAATCTTATAATTGCCCAATACTGATCTGTTAAACCTACTCTAAATAAACTATGTATCTGGAAGCAATTCTGATCTTTCTTTTTTATAATTAGGTAATATACTTAGTGGAAGAGCAATATATGTAGCTTTTGAGGGATAGATGGTGCTCTTTAGCTAATAAGACTATTATGAATTAATGTTGTTTACTAATATGATCTGGGTTTAAGTCTTTGATACAGATGTGTATTCTCTTGAGGATCAGAAGTTTTTAAGTCGCAGTTCTCATCCTTATTGCCCTTTGATATTTTAGAGGTTGACTTGTTTAGAGGTTAACACCTAGCATTGTCTAGAAACTAGGTCTCAGACTTCCTGCTCTTAGCCCTTTCACTGTTAAAGTTGATATGCTTTGGCCCTGCTTTTCCCTGTGTTAGTCACACATCACTTCTAGATATGAAACCACTGGCAGCATGTCAAATACTGATGATAACTACTGATAATTACCGTAGTTCTTACCGTGGCAGATCTAGCAGCTGTGGAGCTGTTTTCTGTCCATAGAACTTGTCCAGGTGTATAAAGGTTGAGCTAAATTTCAGTAAGCCAGCCTTTGAGAGTCTCCTTTTTCTTTCATTGAAGGAAAGAATAGGCTCAAATGAAGAAAAAAAAAAAGCGCAGGCAAGTAGCTTTCTTCCCTCTCTTCTTGAGGAGTCACAGGCCATTAAGCAGACTTTCTTGGGCAGAAAGGAACTGCTATAAACTATGTATCTTTTACCTGAACATCCATCAGCATACAAACTTCCTGTCATCAAATGAAACAAAGGTAATCATCTTATCAACAGACAAACAGAAAAGAAGTATTTCTGAATCTTTTTTTTTTTTCTTTCTTTTTTTCTCCCACAGAGAGACTTTCAGCATTCCCTTGGTACCTCTTGGCCTGAAGGAAACCAAAGAAGTAGACTTCACAGTCCCCCTCAAGGTAAATTTCAGAGACACATTTCAGAATGAATAGTTAACAGAAATAACTTCCATTTCAGATTTGTTTAAAGAAGCAGAAGTAATTACATACAAATTATTTTTTGTTTTATTTGCCCTAAAACTGAGATCACAATATATTAAAATTTAACCACCAATTATTTGGGTCGTTGCTCGTATCTAGCTAGGACAAAGAGTCAGAAGATGTTACAAGAAATCCCACTTTGGAGACAGTAGAGTTAAACTAAAGAGAATAAAAATTCCTTGTACAGTTTTTGGTTCCAGTAATACTATTGATTAATACTTTAAGTGTGAAAGTAGTAATGAAGGTTTTACTCAGCATAACACAGGGATACTCCAACTTGCATTAACCAAGCTAGCTCAGTTGTGAAGCAGTGTTGCAGTGTTAACACTGCTTGTCTGTTGGCAAATATACTTTGCTGGCTATTTGAGCCACCTTCTGTATTTTTTTGGACTACTGTGTATTGTGCAATGTAGACTTTATCTCATGGTAAACCATCTTATATCACTGTAGCGTTTGTCCCTGCTTTTACTTCTGTAGGTTAATCTCCATGGTCAGATTATGGTACAACTTTATGCCATTGCAGTTTGGTTAATTTAAGTGGAATTGTCCTAATATAGCTGACAAGAATTTGGCAGTCTTTCTGTTAACAAGTTTTTATGGTCAGTTGATTCCCTTGTTATTTTAGCTAACAGGGTTCATTTGTCCCTTTCAAAACTACTAAGTGGTGTTGTTTTAAAACCCAATGGAGTTGATGTAATAGGTGTTTGGTTCCTTTACATCAGACTGAAATGTCTTGTCTCGGATATCAAATGAAATTGTTAGTTCTATTGTCTTTTTGTAGCCTTGTTGCTATATGTTACTGTGCTATTGACTGGAAGGGAGTAGACTCCATGCAAATTGCAACTGAATCAATTTTGTACTGTTTGCAACTGCAGAAAACAATAATGAATAGTTTAGATTAATTTTAGATATTCCAGGTTTTTACTTTTTTTTTTAGGACTTTATTCTGGAACATTATAGTGAAGACAGTTCTGAGTATGAAGACGAAATAGCAGATCTCATGGATCTGAGACAAGTAAGTTCAAGTATGGCATACCATGAGGTCTTTTAATCTACAGTTGTAAATAATAATATTTGCATAGAATCAGAATATGCCACTACTACTTATAACTTACCATATTCTTATTGGCTTTATTTCTGAGATACGGAACACGAATCTCCATTGTCCAAGAGCTTTACAATCTGAGTAAAAAACAAGTGAAGAAAAGGATGACGTTATGCAAAGTGATTGAGCTATTGACACAACTTTGTAAATCTTGTAAATCTAATTTGTCTTACATACTTTTTTTACTTTAAAGTATTTTAAATTTAGCAGGAAGAGTGGTGAAGTGAATTCATCTGGCAAAATATTGTAGTAGAACGATGGTTATTTCTAACTATTGTTTGTTTCCTGTATTATACTAGAAACATAAACTTTCTCTGTAGCTTTCATAAAAAACCTACAATCTTTCTTTAATTAACTCTGAGACTTGCCCAACAGATCCTCTCTGCTTCCTTAAAGGTTACATGCTACTTCTGTGCAGATGAAAACCTCTTATTTGGAATGCATCCATATGGCCTTAAGCTTACCGTTCTCAAATTCCAAACATTTCTATGATACTCAGAAGTCAAAAGGAAGTAGAGCTTCATCCTTGGTGTTTCAGTATTCACCCTGTAACTCAACAGAATACACTTTATTTTAATCTATTGTATTTTAAGGCCTGCCGCACTCCTAGCCGAGATGAAGCTGGCATTGAGATGTTGATAAGCTATTTCCTTCAACTTGGTTATGTAGAAAACAGATTTTTCCCACCCACCAGGCACATGGGAGTTTTATTTACATGGTAAGTGTGTAGTTCATGTTTGTCTTTGTCTTTTTTTTTTTTTTCCCCCAGAACACTGTTAATCATTAACTGTCTTCCGTTTAATTTGAAGTATGTCAGTATGTTTCCCCCCCACTACTCACTGCAGTGTGTGTTGTAAATTTTTTCTTTTTTTTAGCATTAATAGTAAACCTGAATACAGTACCTCCTTTTCATGCTTAAAGTGAAGCCATTGGCTAGATTATGATTTGGACTACAGGTTAGCACAAGGCAAAAAGAGAGAAAATAATCTTCATTTTGGACAACTGCAGCTATTTCCTGGACTCTGAAACTTGGCATGAAGCAGATGAGGAATGAGTTAGACCTTAATTCCCCTCCTTCAATTTGTTAAGACCACCGTTTGCACCAGAAGAGAGGAGGGGCGACCTAAGTTATTATAGTGGAGTGTTTACTACATCTATGAGCAAAGTTTGACTCTGAATTCAGAATTTTTCTTTTTATGATGAAAAAAAGATGATTACCATGCAGCCAAGAGTAACTGTTAAACTTCTAGTCATAACTGCAAATACAAACTTTAAAATACAAGCTATAGAGGATCTGACAATGCCAATAGTTGATCTTTGGCAACATCTAAGTACAAGAACGTAGCAGCACATATGGATACTTCCCCAGCACACTCTCAGCCTCTGTGATGTTTTATAGGCACTTTTGAGTTAGATATAATATGCTTATGGAGGCACTGCTGTAAAACCTGCTGAAAACCAAGCCTCAAATCAAGCCAATCTCTGGCTTGCAGCATCTACATTGTCCTTGCATTACACAATGGTTTTTCTATTCACCTTCATTTTCACTGTAGCAGAACAATTATTAAGAATTCCACTGCTCTTTTGGAAAAACAAAATGAAAATACCTGTTGTTTCAATGGAGTATACTAATCTTAATACTTCTTCTAATATTTGTTTCCCAAGGTATGATTCCTTCACAGGTGTCCCAGTGTGTCAGCAAAATCTGTTGCTTGAAAAAGCTAGTATTTTATTCAACATTGGAGCCCTCTACACCCAGATTGGAACAAGATGCAATCGTCAGACCCAGGCTGGACTTGAAAATGCTGTTGATGCTTTTCAGAGAGCTGCAGGTACACATTTTAAAATGCTGGGAAGGTCTTTATGCAAATGTTCCTAATCTCATCCTGATATCCTGCAGATTTCTGCATTTCCCACTGACTTCATTACACAAAAAAGGAGGAATAGGGAAATTCAAGGAGCCTAGTGAAGAAATGAAGCTTTAATTTAAAACCTGGAACTGTAGTCTGAACACGCAGATAAAGACAGTGAATACTGCGGTTAATGATTAACAAACCGCAGTTCAAAGTTCTTGAGTAACAGCCCTAACATTAACTCCTTCATTGTTCATTTTGTTTCACCAACATAGCTGCTTTTACCTCAGTGATATTACACCGGTGTAAAAAATCTGTACAAGAAACAATTTAAAGGGTTGATAAAGGGCTTAAAACCTAGTTTTCCATATGGTCTCTTCAAAATTCATCTTACTGTGTTCTCTGGTGAAATTTGCAATTCATTGGAAGTTGACTACATATTTTCCATAGATTCCAAAGGCAAACAGGTTCAAAATAATCAATCAATCTCTGTCCCAAGCCAGGAAAAATACAAATAAAGAGTATCATATCCCTTGAACTAACGTGTTATAGAAGCTTTTGGTTTGGTTTTTTTTCCAAGTAGATTTTCTAAATTTTTATAAATGTAATCTGTGCTACAGATAATGCTTAAAGACATGACCTATGGAATTTAATATGTACTGTAAGATTTATTTCTGCACGAACCATCTGTGGCTATTGGTTTCCACTGTATGGATAGCTTTATCACCTAAAAACTGTGGACCATAGAGTTGGATTGTCATAAAACCCCTCTTTTGAATACACAGCTATCAAAAAAATTTGATAGTATTTCTTCATGCATTTATTAAATAAATTGTTTTTCAACCTTTGTATTTCATCTAAAAAAATTTCAATACTTGAGAAATTTCACCATTTTGCTGCGGCTCCTTCCATTTTGCAAATTAAAAAAAGTCACTGCTTTTCACTTCAATGTATTTACAGAACAGAATTAATTCACAAATTGAAATGCATTATTTGCTACCACAGTACCTTTGCAGGGCCCCAAAGCAATGTGCTCAGGAGGCATTTCATTGTACCTGTGCATGGCTCCGTAACACTGTTCATTATGTTGGTGGAGACATGATATAGAGCATGTATTAACTGTTTCTCTGTGCTGAATGGAAAATGTTGCACAGAGTTTATCCTCAACAAAGCTCTTGGTGTGTATATGCTTACCGTATAAGCAGAAATATGTTGAGAATGAAAAAAAAAAACTTTTTTCCCTCCCCTCTACTTTCAGTCCCTTTCAGTAGGGCACTCTGTCAGTACTTGGGATGTGCCTGGCAAGTTTGGGGTGTTGTTTTTTTTTTAGTGCAAAAAGGCAGAGATGGCCATAATTCAAATTTGTGTAAGGGCATATTAATAAGTTGAAAGATACAAGTGTAACACAGAAAATGAAAAATCTCAGAAACTGGTAGAAGGAAAACACAGCACAACATGGCCAGAACTGAATGTAGTGGCAAGAAGTAAGATTACAGAAGCTGTAGACACTTAGCTTTAGTCTTATCGTTACACTTTTGTAGTGTTATCAGCAATTAGCAGATTATTAGAACTCACTAAACCAGTTGGCTTACGTGCATGCTGAAGGTTATGCTTCCATCTGTGAAACTGTTACTTAATATTTGCACTACAGTTAGTGCTTGTTTTTAATTTGATAAATGATAGAAAAGATTAATCTGTTGGTGGAACCAGATACTTAAAGCCAAATCTAATTTTACCCTATTAAATATACTGTTCTAGGTTACTTACAGGGATGGAACTAGCTTTCATTGGGACACACAATGCACTTAGCAGCATCTGAAAAGGAGATTCATAATTAATTAAGTTTATATGTTTGTGTTTTGGGTTCTGCTGTCACCTCCTTATAGTTGCAGAGATCTCTTTTTCTTGTCGTATGTATAAGCTCTAGCCTGCCACTCCCATATACAAGTCACATTCAGTTCAGCACAGCTTTATGGTCAATCACAAGAACAGTTGTAAGCAAATCTGAAGGTATTGCCCTTAAAACTTGCAACTTCTGTTGTTCCTGTGAACTGTGATTTTGAGAACTGTGCCTGGAGATGTTTGATGGGAATGCAAAGCAAAACCTGTAGGTCAGTTTAATTTCATGTGTACTAAGAATCCCTTCAGATTGCTGTAGTGCAATACCAGGAAGTATGCTTTCAATCTTAATTATTATGGTACATGCTAGAATTAAGTTCACTTGTTTCTCTCTGTAATGCTGACAGAACGTTTTTGTAATTTCAGGAGTCCTAAGCTACTTAAAGGAGACCTTTACTCACACACCAAGTTATGATATGAGCCCAGCTATGCTGAATGTACTAGTAAAAATGATGCTTGCGCAAGCTCAGGAGTGTGTTTTTGAGCAGATTGGTCTTCCTGGAATACGCAATGAGTTTTTTACGCTAGTGAAAATGACACAGGAAGTTGCCAAGGTAAAATATGAGACTTAAAATTTGGTCTTTAAAAGTAACTGTTTACAGTGCTGTGTTACTAGCTACAGCCTCTAGTAATATTAACAGAATTTATTAAACCTAGCTATTACAACCATTACGGAAAAACAAAAGTAACAAGGGACAGCTTACAAGCTACAATGAGAATCACAACCTTTCAGAAGATTAAAATGTGAATAGCTGCAATTTAAATATAATTATTTTAGAACTGTTATGATTTTTTTTTAATTCATAATTCATGAAATTGAATAGAAACATGCTGGAACACTTGGGTAGTGAACTTGCCAAAGGTTTTTTACACGCTATTTATGATTTTGCTCTTTCAAACAGTACTGATCTTGTCCACAGAACAACATACAAAAGGACAGGGTTGTTTGTGTAGTTCTCTGTTAAGTACTGAACACAGCCTGTCTTATTTCCCAGCAGTGGGAGGTTATGAAAACCTAGAAAGCTTAAGTGCAAAAGAATAACTAAATTGTAACTGGGGGAAGGACACTGATGAGCAGTCAGGTTGGTAGCTGCAGAGCTGTCTCGGGACTTGCCTGAAAAATGGGGAAGCAGGCTGTGCTCCAGAAGGTAGTGTTCACACTTGATGGAGGTTGATGACATCAAAGACTGGGTATGCCAACAAGATACGCATATCCTTTCTGAGCCATTTCAGAGTAGCAGATATATAATTGCTTCCATACTAGCTAAATGGGCAAAACCTTTCCTACTGACCCTATAAAGCCACCCTGACTTATTTGTAGGATTGATTCCCGCAAGGGCAAGATTTTTGGATTCTGTCAGTTGGAGTTGTTTGATCCATTGAAGCAGCATTCACTGCTTGAAAAGCTATTTTATTTCCTCTGCATAAAGGATAGTAGCCCAGTTTTAACTAGACCACACAAACTTAAGGCTAGGTATGCCTACACAGCTTCAGAAGTGAAGCTCAAACGTACTGTATAAGTAATATGCTTCACCCTTTTTCTCAGCTGAATTAACCCAATGAGATTTATTTGTAAATTAAAAACCATTTATTATATGGTCTTTTTATTGAACTCTGAAGCCATATAGATTGACTGACTTAGTCCATCTGTTCTTGTACAAAATTGATGTACTTTTCTTGTCAGGGAAAAATCAGAGATGGAATTTCATATTTTCTCAAAACTTATTTACAAGCCTTTCTAACTCTCCCCTCCTTTGATGTGATGCACATGAAGTTATCTTAAGGTTGAATACAATATCCCTTACTTGAGCTCCTAATAACTAATGTTAAATTCTCATATTTCAATTCTGTGCTTTATTTTAGGTGGGAGAGGTGTACATGCTGGTTAACACTGCAATGAATCAGGAACCAGTGAAAGAGAATATCCCCTATTCCTGGTCTAAACTGGCACAAATAAAGTCAGACCATTACAAAGCTCTGGCGCATTACTTCATTGCCACCATTCTGTGTGACCATGAATGTAAGAATCATACATTTTCTATATATTCATACAAATAACGATAATAAACACATAAACAGTTATAATTTGGTCTGTGAATAAGATTAGGAGCCAGGAACTTTGGAGTTTCAATATATGTTAATCTGTGGCCATTTTCCTGTTCAGATATCAGGCCATGCTCTTTTGTCCTTTACAGAAGAATGTGCAAGTTCAATAAACTAACTTTTGCAGAAACAAAAGAAATGTTATATACATTACATGCTAATAAATTGTTCAATTTTTGTCACTATGTTCTGGCATATAATTATTACTTGCATATTGCAGATTATAAAACTGATAAAAGTCTTAAAAACTTGAAATTCCTATCAATATATATGTGTACAAATATTTGACTGCATTTGAAGAGCAGGTAGTAGTAACTACACAACAATACACCTAAAGGAACAGAGCACCAAGAGATGCGTAATGGTTAACGTTCTATATCAATTATTATAGTGCAGTCCAGTGATGATGAAGACCAGCAGGAGAAAGCCTTGTCCCAGTTGTATGACTACATGCCTGAAGGACTGATGGTTCTCACCATTTTAAAGGACAAAGTTCAGAGAAAACAATTAGGTAACTGCCAGTTTCACACAGCTACTAGATACTATTTAAAAATTACCTTGTATTTATTGTCTACAGATGACAACCAACAGTTTCTAATTTTTTTCAGGGAAAGCACATTTACGCAAAGCCATTGTTTACCATGAAGAAGCTCTAAGAGTCTGTGGTCTATGCAAAAAGCTTCGAAACATTGATGTTCTTCAGGAGGTTCTAATGGCTGCACATAAGCGCTCACTTCTCAAATATGCTCAGCAAGAGACGGAAGATGACTTTCTCAGTCTAATCCAGGCTCCAGATATCCTTTGTAAGTGTACTCAGATGGAAATAAAGGGTATCTAACCATACATGTGTATGCTTTCATGGGGATGTGCCTTTATTTTATATATATGTATCCATATATAATATGCATCCATACATAATATAAATAATGTACAAGTTATATACTGCACATTTGAGCTTAGATTCCTTACACATTTCCTCAATCACAGACAAATGAATTTTGTTACAGCTGCTTTACGGTGTTTCTGTCTCTGGCCACATCATTTTCTGGGGTAGATAACAATGGTTATTATTTAAAATTCAGCTTTTTTTGGTGGCTATCTTGTGAGCTAGAAAAATTGGGGAAACTTTAAAAGCTAAAATCATACAGGGGAAAACTCATAACTCTCTCTTGCAGCACATCTCTTACACTGGTCTAAGTTGTTAATTTGACTTCTATTGGTTCTTCCTGCCTTAGTCCAGCTCATCCAAGTCTTTCCTCTTTGGAAGCACTGGGAAAGAATGAGTGCTGGTTTTAAATATTTCTCAAAGAAAAATAAATTGAAGAGGAGAATAGTGTAGTTTTGTTTGGATGGATTGTTTTAAATTTTCTGTATTGATACTATCAGCTCTGAAGATATTTTTAAGGTGAATCAGATATTTGTCTTACAAATTTCCACAAAAAGGAGTTTTTCTACAGCCTGGTAAGAATTTAGGAGAAATTTCTATCTAGCTTGGAATGCAAGAAAAATAAATTTGTATGTCTTATAATGAATACTTAAGAGAAAAATAATTTGTTTTTCTTTTTGTTTTAGCTAAAACGGAGTATAAAATAGAAACAATTGCTCCTCAGTTTTCCAAGGTGAAAGTTAAAGACTTCTTTCACAGGCTGGTACGTAACATGCTAATGCTGACCAACCTCCGTCACTTTGCTAGCAAGTATAAATTCACTCTAACGTGAGGAAAGGAACCCAAGTATTTTAGCCTGAAGAAATGATCCTGTAGTAACTGGGGGTCTTCAGAAGTTATTGGAGAGAGATCACTCCTAGCTTCAGAGGTAGAAGTCAACTTGAGACTAGCAAAGAATCAAAGTGCCATTTGTATATGGATTTGCACAGCATTCATTCTTGATAACCTTCATCAACATCCCATGAATTTTCAATAGGTAATTGCATACAACTTAAAGGCAGGGAGAAACACATAGTACTTGGAGATAGGCATGCGTAATGCGTAATGTTGCATGCCTCAAAGCCAGTCTTTCAGGTGGCTGGCTCTGTGTGTATCAGTAGGCAAAGGGAATTGGGAGTTGTGGTTAGGATCAGAATATGCAACATTTCATGAATCAATTTATCTCCTCTAAAATGGAGTAATATAGGACCTTACAGCCTGCTGCAACCAGAGGATTCTGCACACCTTAACAGAGATCTCAGAACAACTTGGCAGTTGCTGTCATCTCACTCTGGCTGAAGCATCACCTGAACAGTTATGAAGTAGGGCTGAGCACTTCAGGGGACATCTTAAACTTCTGGGATAAATCTCACTGTTCCATTTTAATGGAAGTAGCTGGAAGTTAACCTGAGTAAAACCTACATAAAATGAGCTTAAAGCATTGTAACGTAAAAAAATTAGAAATGCTTACTTATGCATGACAGTAAACCATAATGTGCCTGCTGCTATGTTACCTCCAGGGCCCACTGACAGTGTTCTCGGCCAAGCAGAGATGGACGGCTCCACGTACCATTCGCATCCACCATGAAGCAGGAGAGCTAGGATTCAGTCTTAAAGGAGGTTCACCAGTACAGATTTATTGTCTTGATCCAGTTTGTGCTGCAGCAGTAAGTACATTGGTGCAATATTAACAATTTATCTCTGGACTGTAGCATTACAATCTTTTGAATGTAAATTTTTAGCTTGTTTATACTGGTGTATGGAGTATTTGTTGAGTTCTACTATACATCAGTATAGTCAATTCATATAATTTGAACACATTTTCAGTGCTATATACACCTTAGATGTTAAGAGTATCCGTACCCCTGACATCACATTAAACTAGAGTTGATTTCTTCTTGTTCACACTTAATAGATAAAAAGTCCCAAATAATAAAAGCAAATACTATATCCCTTCTAGCTTCCCAAATTAGATGGGGAAAAGACTTTAGAAAGTAGCAACAACAATGAGGATGAGGATCAGGAAGGGAAGGCAAGGTAGCATGTGCCCAAAGAAAAAGAGGGGAAAGAATATATTATCGGCTTCTAATATGTTGTTCTTTGGGGGGGGGGGGAAACAAAGGGATAAAGCAGCATGCAGTGATGAGCACAGTTCAGCTGTAGGAAGGGCAGAAGCAACCACAGAAGTACAAATAAAAATACTGAAGAAATAGAAGTAAAAACTGGAGAAAATATCTCATGGGGTACAATAGAGTAGCAAAAAACAGCTTTCACTTACTTAAGGAGAAAAGTGAAAAGGACATAAAAAGAGCCAACATTTGAGTATGCCAGAATCACATTTATCAATAGTAACTCAGATAGGTAACTTGTGTACTTGAAAAAGTTGCATGTTTCTTTGTTACATATACACAGGTTAGTTCCATGTGTCTGGCTAGACAGTGGTTTTATAGCATCTAAGAGGGAAATGCCTTTAAGGCAGATACTCTGTGATGACAATAATATTCTATGCATCTTTATAATTCCAGATACTAACATGTGCAAAATTTTTTGACAGTCGATGGGCCTAAAAGAAGGTGACTACATTGTTTCAGTTGGTGGCATGGATTGCAAGTGGCGTGGAGTGAATGAGGTGCTGGAAAAATTCAAAAGCGTGGGAGAGCAGCCCATTGAGATTGAGGTTATCAGTTGCCAGGATACAGCGGCATCTATGGTATGTAATGAGGCAAATATGTTTTGCAGATTGGATATGTGAGAATTTTTTTGACTTCCTGGCTTCAGTCCCTGATTAATGTTTACTTTCATGTAGTCAGATATCCCACTCCACTAGTGAATATATAAAGCATTCAGGCATGTGTTCAACTTTAACAGTCTGTTTAAATCATCATGAGTTAGTAAGCTAAAGAACAGTCTGTGTGCATAAGAGTGGTTGGGTGGTAGGTTCTTTTGTAGTCAAGCTGCTTAGATTAATTGCATTATAAATTCCAGGGCATATTTTATTTTCCCCCCAAATCATCCCAGAGGATGAAAATATTACCCTGTTCAGCATTGGAAAAGCCACAATGAAACAATAATGGAATGCTATAGAATATCCAAGACGGCATGCTTATTTTCTATGCACTGTTAACATAAATGATCCGTGAATTTTGTATTAGATCACGGATTAATGTATGTATTTTTTTATTTTGGTGGACTTTAGCTGTCTAGTCAGTTACTAAACTGCTGTAGCAGCCGCCTTAGACTAAGGAAAAATGATCACAAGATTAAAAAATGTTAAGCTCTAAATAACTTAAACTTGTTTGTAGTGTGAGAGAACTTGTAGTTCAGCTAAATTCACTGTTTCATGCTTCTGACATTCCCTGGCAAGCTCAGGCACTGAAGTATTGTTGCCTTAGAAGTGATCAAGGTGCTCTTACTGCTGTTAGATTTTTCTCGTTCTGTTGAAGTAGTTGATTTTCCTTATTGAAAATAAGGAATTGCACACCTGCCATTCCACAGTGCTACTGGAAACAAAAGGCTAGAATGTAATCAGATTGCTTCAGGGCACAGCTAAGATAAGACAGAGAAGGCTGTGCCTTTCGGGCATCACAAAAGTGTCCTACAGTAGCTCTTGTCATAGTTGCAATCAACATGGAACCTGTCCAAAGACAGCAAAAAGACTCCCCTTCAGAGATCTGTGCAAGAACTACATACTTAAGCTTTGTAGAGATGTTAGTATAGTTATGCTAGAAGCCAGTAAATGCTAGCTATAACACAACCCATGGAAAAGATTCGCAAGTCCCTTTATGCTTTGCATAGTGTACCTTGGAGTTTACATGGGCAAAATACCAGAATCATAGTGCTCTGAAGGGCCTTGTGTTCAGTTAGTATGTCATTAGCACAGAAAGCTTGCTTTTGTCTGCTTTGGAAAACTATTAGCACAGTAACCTTTTGTTATCTGCAAAATTTTGACCCATTTTGGGTGACTGATTCTTATAATGCTTCTCTTTTTCCTATAGCATAGTAAGAGTGCAACTTATTCTGTGGGAATGCAGAAGACATACTCCTTAATCTGTTTAGCCATGGAGGAGGAGAAGATTGATCAGACCAAGAAAGCCCCACTGAAACTGCCTTTTCTAAGTTGGGGAACTAAAAATAGACAGAAAGCTGCAAGCACCCTCTGCCTTCCTTCAGCTGTGGCTGGAAGTTCTCAGATTAAGAAGAAGATATCTCCATTCACACTTCTGAATACAGAAAGTTCATTGTACTGAATCTTTCAGAAGGATCTGTTAGCACGACATTTTTCTTTTGAATGTATATAAAAAATTGATCAACTTTATCTTTATATATATATGTGTATAAATTCAGACAAATGCCATTGACTTCATTTACTGTGTATTGAGCCACTATGAAGGTCAGAGGCTGGCAAAAACTGTAAAACCTAAGTATTTGAAGGTTAGAATGAAGTGGTTTAGGAGGTATGCAATAACAAGATGTAGATAATAAAATTGCTTACATGAGGACTGGATTCCTTTGGAATTTCAAAATACAGTATCATGACTTTTTTTATAACTATGATAGATGGGACTTATTTATTACATGTGAAACAATAGTGGACACATTCAAGGATGATTTTGCTCTAAAAGTAGAGTCAATAATAAATCAGTTAACATTACTTTAAAGGATTATCTTAACAAACCACAGGCAAGAGAGAGTAACATTATTCAGAGAAACTAGCCTTGTGCCAAGGGGCAGTGTCATATAGTTGTGTTTTTTATGCATAGACATTCTCTTTCTGAGAGTACTATGTATATTCTACTGAATAGTTAATTTAATTCTGGAAGAGAATTAGAAGGCTTAGAAGTCAAAAGATCTTTTGAACTACAAAAGGCTTTTACTCTGCTCTCTTTGTGATCTAGGTTCCATTTTAAAAGCCTGTTGATTCAACTGTTGAAGCAAGCTTTATTCCAAACTTGAAATTATTTCATCTACTTACCATAAGACTTGTATCTCATTAGTCTTGATAAAATTGATAGCTGTGGAACAAATCTTAAAACTGACATATTCCAGTGTATTGATCAAGAGTACATAAATTGTGGTGATGCTTTAAAATGAGAAAAGAAGTGCTTGTGAGTCTTAAGCGGCAGACTATTTATTTACTATCACACCAAGTAAAAAAACAAAACAAAACAACCAAACCAATATATATAAAGTCCTCCTCCCACACCTTGGAACAATTAATGAGCAAGTACTGGATATATATATTAAGGAGGGAGACAAAAAACCTGCAAACAAACTGTGAGCAACAAACCTTTGAGATTCTTCTGTTTTCTGAAATTAATTGAAAATTGCTAACACTGTAGTGTTAGTTAACATTGCCATCTACAGAGTAGATATATGCTGTTTGATACTCAAAACAACAGGAAAGTTTGTGTCTGGGTGTAAACTTTTAAGTTGTTTATTTTTAGTTTCTTATGTAATAGGTGTAAATATGTTGATGACACTTATTTAACAATAAAAATCACATGCTGTCATTTAGTAGTAGTTCTTTGATTCTGCTGCAGCTTGGACAATACATCATAATTTACAAGTTTTCACTATTTACTGCTGGCATACCTCTTGCATGTTTCTGTAATGTTGCTTACAAAGATCTAAGAAACTGTTCTTTCTTAAAACTTTATATTGTATAATACAGGAACTTACAATCTAAAACTTGCTTCCTTACAAGAGTGTTAACGTATTTCTAGAGTTTCTCTATGAAGGTTACATAAAAAAAAAGTTGTAAATTACTTATGACTCACCTATCCTTAGTAGTTATTCTTCGTGTGTAGTTGGAGTAGCACTTCTTAGACACACACGCAGCAGCAGTCATATACTGATAACACAAGACCCTGCCATACAATATTCCACACAGATTTACCTTGCATGTATGGCTAAAATTACTCTCCAGCTAATCAGCAAAGTCACATGAATCACCCTTCCAGCTCTTCATTTCTCTTAGTCCACTATGCTAATCTTCCTGCAAGTATCTTCCTCCTTAGCTGCATGATTAACTGCCTTTCCATTCATATCATCACACTCACTAGTCCTTGGGGAAAGGTTGGAGTGGGGGTCTTTTATTATTTAAGCCTCCCCCCTCCCTTGAATTAAAGTCAAAATTTGGGCTTCTTGACTGCCATAGAAATACATACTTATTATTTTCTGTCAACTAACAAAAGACTTATTCTATACCGAGTGGTAGCCAACAGCTAACTTCAGGCAAATGCTAATTTCACAGCAAGTGACCACAGGAATACTTGTAACAAGTTTCTATCCACAAGGATGTATAGGGCTACTATAAAGCCCTAAAAATAAAGGTTTGCAGTAGATTAGTAGTTCAGCCTATAACTCCATTAATACTAATTGTTACTACTTTAATTGAACTTTATTTAATGCACTGAGCAGATGGCCATTTGAAGTAGTAAACAGGTATCTGCCTTGCAACATCAATAGCCACATACCTTTAGGTGTGAAACCCGGTCTCCATATCAAAGTGACAGTCTGAGAGAAGAGAGAATAACATCTAAAACAGATTTATGAGGACGTTTAAGCATTTCCTAGTTCTAAGAAAGTAGTATCTTGCTCTGTAGTTCTGGAAATGCTGATAATTTATTACTCAGTAAATTAAATACTTATGCCCAAATAAGTGTATTTTCATCCCAAGTACAGAATCAACATAAGTAAAAGGTCTATCTACTGTCCACGCTAACCAGTGGATGAGATATTGGTTACAGAGGTGCCAAGGTTCTGTTACTCACTTCTCTGTAGTTTACAAAAGGGAGTTGAAAATCCTACTCACTCAGCTGCTTTCCTGCTCTGATCCAAAACCCAAGTAGTATGAAAGAAGCTTTTCACATACCTCCTTAGGTACATAAGGCGAAAGGCAATTTGACCCCTACTAAATAGGATAAGAATATAATTTAAAATTAAATGCAAGATTGTCAGGAAAAGCAATCCTCTTTACAAATAACGTGATTAATACTGGAAGAACAGGTTGAATTATGGATTTTGATCAAAGCTTCCCATATTATTTTCTTTGTAGCATAACTGATATTATAATTAATACATTATAGCTGATATGTCAAAACATATTGTAACTGATGATTATTATCCCAACCTATATTCAAAAGCACAACATGAATTAACCAAGATTTTGGATATTAGATACAGGGGAATAAATTTGGTAACACCCTGTGAACTGAAAAAGGAACCAGAGAATTAAGTGTAAAGTCAAAGAGGTATTCCAGTAGGACTTTCCAAAGGAAGTCCAAAAAGTTATAAATCAAAGATACTACTATAAAGCAATGTATGCTAACTTTTTTTAAAGCGCTGTAACTCCCATTGCCAGTTACTGAGAAGAGAACACCACCCGCATATTAACAAGGTGTTTATTTCTGGAAGACAAAAGTAAGCAAGCAAATTAGTTTTCCATTTTTTTTCTGTGGATGCTAAAGACGACAGCGTTTTCTCAGGTTTTTTGTACAAGATAGATGCAAAACACTTTACAGCTTTCTTTCCAGGCAATTTTCACAGCTCAATATACATGAGCAGAACAGCTGTAAAGAAGCAGCAGCAGAGTAATATCTAAACAATTAGTCAACACCCTCCAGTTGTTACCAGGATTATAGAAGTTACCATAGTATGTGATTATTAAAAACAAAATATAGTTTTATACTGTTTATTTTAGAATTCACAAGAATCAAACAAAAAGTCTTTGTTTTCCAAAACTGCGCTACACATGCATGTCAGGAACATAAAAAAGTGTAAATTTGTTGTGCTACTGTTTGTCCAACTACTAGCTCAAGCTCTTTGACTGATGCATTACAAAGCCGGTGGATGCTTCCAAACTGTTGCAGTAAAAGCAGAGCTTTTGTTTTCCCAACTCCTGGAATTTGTTGCACAGTCCGAAACACTGATGGCTCTGCCAGCTGAGAGCACTGTTTACGAAGAAAGGGGTTACTGTTGTGATCCTTACTTTGCTCACGGACCTGAAGGAAAACAAAACCATACGTGACACTGAGTGCCCTCTGCTGGAGCTCTGCTTTTGGTTTTTAAAACAGTTTCCTCCATCTCAAGAAAGTTCAATGCCATCACTAGGAAGTGTTAAAAACAATCTCCCTCCTTAACTGTGCACCCTTATTAAGGGTTTTGATGCAGATCCACAAAGTCTCACTAGGAAACCAACCGTTTCTTAATACCAACCATGAATTAAAACAATGATTTTGTCACCTTTTTGATGCAATCAGAAAAAGGATAAAGGAAAAGAGAAACAACTTAAGAACACAGTTTCCCCAGCCCAAGACAAAGCAAAATCTCAAGTCGATTTTGACAGAGAACTTAAGTGAGGCTTGCCTAATGCTCTCCAGTGGCACCTCAGTGCAAGATCACACTAAAAAAAAAAAATCCAGTATCATATTCCTTAACTTTTTTGTTTTGTTCCCAAATGAGCCCTCCTTCCACTGAGCTATACTACCGTATTACTTTTGCAGGATATTCTTTACATTCAAATAACAAAATACGTTGCATTCCTTTATGATCTCAGGTGTTCTTTCTGAAATGAGTGATGATTGTAGGAAAACAGGTAATTCTCCTCATATCCCATATTTTAATAAATGTTTGTCCACTAACATAAAAACTTACTAGCTGAATGATAAGTTGGGAAGCTTCTCCTTGATTTGCCACAGGAAGCAACACCATTTCAAGTTCTAGCACAACAAGCTTTTGTACTGCTAAGAAATACTGGTCACTTATCTGGGTTTTCTCTACAATTACAATTCCCCCAAGACTGCTGGCCTGTATTGAAAGGAAAAAAGAAGAAAAGACCTTGTTAATGATAAGCTGATGCAATGCAACAGAGAGAAAACTTCTGTCAAGTATGAGCTGCCTGAAAGCAAATCAGAGGAAGAATAGAAGTTGCAGCAACAGGACTGAGGCTTAATACTGCATTATTACACAGCTGTGTAATTTTTCAGTTTTCAGGTGGCAATTATCACAAAAGTTTAGCTCCACTGAAATTTAACAATAACACAAGAAGAATGTTTTCAGAAGCACGGAATAAACAAATACCAATCGATAATTCTTCCTTTACTCTTTATGTAGTACTTACATTTCTAAACCGAACCAATCTTCGTTTGAATTCATCCCCTGCAACCAAATCTGCTTCAGAAATATATAAAATGCAAGTTCTGTTTGAAAGATGAAAATCCACAAGTCCCAAGCCATCTTCAAAGAC